AGATAAAAGAAAGATGTTTACACAAATACAGATAAGCATATAAATGTAGATGACATATCCATACATAGACCTACTCTGGGACCAGGACATTTAATCCATCAGTTTACCAGTAAGTAAACAATTGCATTTGAAGCTTTATTTTAAGGCAGAAATACTGTCTAATTTACCTTGGACTTCAATGTAAGCGCTCCATGTTGCTTCACCACTGGGGGTTGATGCAATGCAGGTATACCGACCCGTGTCGCCCAGCTGAGAAGGCAGACAGAAAATAAATATTTGGAACAATCAAGAGCTCACTGGGTTGGAAAAGCAATTACAGGTTTGTATATGGTCCATGAATATGAATAACTACATTAAAATGTGCTAACCAGAAACTTCTTCTTAATTGAATATATTTTTATTGAATGTGAAGAAAAATATTGCATAAAGACAAAAAAAAGAGATCTTATGTGATTATTCTAATTGTATAATAAAAACATAATTTTTAGTTGCATTAACATATCGTTATTATCAGTGTCAGGAACAATAAGTAATTACTAAGGTATATAACTTCAAAGGGTTAATATTTATTGCTAAGTTATATCTTTATGTTTGATAAGTCATATAATAAGTCTGATAAGGTTTAGCCAGTGACTATTCTTGCTGTTTCCTATTGTATTGAAGATACACCTATACGGATATATGAGATAAACAGATATTTATAGAAGCAGGATAGGCAAAAAAGGATTTTCTCTTCAAGTATTCAAGTCCTTTTGTTTCCCCCCATTTTTTTAACCTTTAACTTAAGGCAGTTTGAGAAGTATAAAGCCAAACTCTAGCTAGAATGAACATTCTCTCTCTTCTAAAGACTGAATGACAGAAAACAAACACTGGTCACATGATTAATTTAATTCAAAATCAGTATCAGCATAACAAACCCATGTACCTCTGCTTAAGATAATAATTCTATCTTCAAGTAACATTTGATAAAGCAAATGTCATCTTGCTCTGGCAATTGCAACAACAAAGTGACAATAGTTGTCACAAATAAGTACAACATGTTAACATTTGTGGCACATAAAATGAACTGTGATGCTAATCCAAAATTCCAAAGCAGCCACCTATAACAGGCAATAAAGTAATTGAAAGTTATGTTTATTGCTATCAAGATTATTCTTTCATATGCCTCGGGAACTTGTCTGATCTTGATCTAAAAAAAAAAAAAGGAAAATCAAAACAAAACAACACAGTCCTGAAATAATAGGCATGGGATGCGATGTCCTGGGAAGGTAAATCCCTAAATCATTCCCACAAACCTGTAGGCTTTCCATCATATAATATTCTGATTTGAAATGTACACTCAGAGTGTACATTGCTTTATAGTTTTTGTTTGCATGTATAGTATTTTGTACTTGCAAAATGCTGATCCAATTGCTTACAATAGAAGAACTATTTAAGTACATTGCACATAAAATGGT